AGTGCTGCAGTATGGCTGGTGGGCAGGAACATGGCTGGTGGGTAAGAATGTGGCTGGTGAGTAGGCATGTGGTGTGGCAGTGTGGCTGGTGGGTAGGAGTATGGCTGGTGGGTGCAAGTGTGGCTGGTGGGTAGGAATGCGGCTGGTAGGTAGGAGTGTGGCTAGTGGGTAGGAGCGTGGCTGGTGGGTGAGAATGTGGCTGGTGGGCAGGAACGTGGCTGGTGAGTAGGAGTGTGGCTGGCGGGTAGGAGCGTGGCTTGTGGGGAGGAGTGTGGCTGGTGGGTAGCAGCATGGCCAGTGGGTAAGAACATGACTGGTGAGTAGGTGTGTGGTGTGGCCGTGTGGCTGATGAGTAGGAGCATGGCTGGTGGGGGGAGTGTGGCTGGTGGATGAGAGTGTGGCTGATGGGAGGGACCATGACTGGTTGGGGGAGCATGGCTGGTGGGAGGGACCATGACTGGTTGGGGGAGCATGGCTGGTGGGGGGGAACGTGGCTGGTGGTGGGTAGCATGGCTGGTGGGTGGGAGCATGGCTGGTGGGTGGGAGCGTGGCTGGTGGGTGGGAGTGTGGCTGGTGAGTGGGAGCGTGGCTGGTGGGTGGGAGCGTGGCTGGTGAGGGGGGAGTATGGCTGGTGGGGGGAGTGTGGCTGGTGGGTGGGAGCGTGGCTGGTGAGGGGGGAGTGTGGCTGGTGGGTGGGAGCGTGGCTGGTGAGGGGGGAGTGTGGCTGGTAGGGGGAGTGTGGCTGGTGGGTAGGAGTGTGGCTGGTGGAGAAGCATGGAAAAGTTGGTCAGAAAAAAAAGCAGTACAAATAGAACAAAAATTGGGATTGGCATTGAGCTGCCAATTTTTACATTTTGTGAGTTAAGAGCATTAAAGAAAATCACATTTTAGCCCTGAATACAGGGGTTATGATATTAAAGGATCGTTTTCTAAAGTGACTACACTTCATGAAAATTATACCACATTTTGTTTCCCCATTGCTCTTCTGCAAAGTTCATGCTTTTTGTACTAAGGAAACACTTCTTTCATGTTAAAATATATATTGTGGTGATTAAGACTATTAGAAGATTGTTGACAAAACGTGAATTTAAATAATGTAGAACCCCACTTGAACTTTATCTAAAAGCATTATACCTTTGCACTTAAAATCAGTCAGTGTGTAATGAGTGTGTCATGCCTTAGTTATATTTCTCTTTTCCAAACAGAGCTTTTGTGCTGCCTTGCACCAGGAACTCAGAGAATACTATCGATTGCTCTCTGTTTTACATTCTCAGGTAAATATTTTTATTTTAATTTCTTCATGATTTGAAGTGTTACAAAATTGAAGCTATATAGAATATTTTAACTTACTTCATACATTCCATTTAAAAGATAGCAATATTTTTCATAATAGTGTTTGTAAGGTTTAAGTATCTGTCAAGTTTCAGTGTCTCCTAGAGCCAAATTAATTGCTAATTTTTGGGGTTCTGCCAGTTAAAGAAAGGGTACTTGTAGCTTAAAAACACTCGTTTTTTAAAGGGGACTTTGGCTTCATTTTTACAAGTATGATCATTTTCTTACGTTCACTTAGTGTAGATTAAGAAGTGTGACCTATGTAGTTATTCATACTTAAACATTTCTATCTTTATTGTTTTCTAGCTACAGCTGGAGGATGACCAGGGTGTGAATTTGGGACTTGAGAGTAGTTTAACCCTGCGGCGCCTCCTGGTTTGGACCTACGATCCCAAAATCAGACTGAAGACCCTTGCGGCCCTGGTGGACCACTGCCAAGGTCCCGTGCGCGGCCTGCGCTCACTTTGTTTCAGAACTCATTTGTAGGGGCGCAGTGCGGGCTTTTGTTTTTGTGTCCTGCCCTTTGTTTTCCTTAACGGCCACGAGGATTCAATAGGAACCAATGGCGATTAACCGAGAGGGAACATAACCAGTTGCCAATGTGGCCCGGTAGTTACAGGGCAGAAGCCGGGCGTGGCGTTGAGAGGAGGTGGGAAGGGGGAGGGTGTCTGGGTTTGAAGGTCTCTCTCGCCCGTCCTCGTCCTCGGCCGTGGCTCCCCACCGTGCTTGCCGCTCCCTTGGTGGCCTTCCTTGCATTTTGCTTTTCGCCTTTACTCCTTCTGTGGTCAGGGGCCGTGTTGGTGTCGGTGTTTCTTCGTCAGATGTTCCCATATTTGTGTCTTGCTTTGGCCTCTCTGGCTCCAGGTTCTGTATTTCGACTTGCTTCCTGACATCTTTTCTCACTGTTTGTGCTGCCTTGTCCAGGTACCCCTTTGCCTTTTCTCTCATCTGCAACATTGAGATCCTAGCAGCCGCCACCTCTTAGGGTTGTTAGGACCGCATGAGATGGACAAGCCGGCCGTCTGCCACAGAGAGCTCCCTGCTCTCTGCCTCCCTCTGCCCGGGTGGTCCCCAGAATCTGCAGGGCCACATGGTCGCCTTGCTGTCTGCACACCCTCCCCTCTCACCTCCTGGCCCTTTCCTCAAAAGAGGGAGGAGTGGAGCACAGTGAAGAAACAGCAGCGTTTTCTCCAGTTCCCAGCGCTCCTCCAGAACTGGATTCCCCCCAGACTCCTCTGTCACTTTTGGTGCCCAGCAGGTTCCTGGGGTCCTTCACTCCCCTCACCCTGCTCGGCCTGTGCGCCTGGCCGTGGAGCCGTAGGGGCTGTTGTCAGAGCTGCTGTCCGATCCCTGCTCAACCTCACACTCCCACTACACACTAGAGCCATCGTCTTAAAATCAGATTATTTCACTCCTCTCCTTAAAATCTTCCGCTGGTCTGATAAAATTAGCATAGTATGAGAACCCTTCATGTGCTTCTGTTTCTGGAGCGGATTTTTGCCATTCCCAGTCCTTCATACTGAGTAGTTCTGGCCAAGGCCCAGGGGCCCCCTCTCTCCACTCAGAGCAGTGTTTCTCACACTGAATGTTGTCACCAGTTAATGGGTCAGGAAACCAGTCAGTGGGTTGGGACTAGCATACCATAACAAAAAAGCGAGCAAGTGTTGATTCATACAACTTTTGTTTTTCATACATATTTGTGCCCTGCATTGCACTAGGAAGTGTGAATCTTAGTATGTCTCAAGTAAAAAGGGTGTGAAGTCATGTGAACTTTAGATTGTGTAGCCAGCAATTTTTTTGCTACTTTTTGTTTCTGAAAAATTCCTCAGCAACCCTAAAGAGAGGAGTAACTCACAGACTTGGGTGAAGTAGGCCTAGAGTTTGTACCTCCTGGTTTCTGAAACATTACGTTACTGCTGCTTCTAGGTCCAAAGTGGTATTAACCATAAGAAAACAAATGCGCTTTATCTCAATTACTTGGGCATCTTTGGTTAGTGTGAAGTGACTGGTGTGTACTATGAGTGTAAATGTGGGTGTTTTTATGTGTTTTCCCCCATTTCTCCCAGGAAGGAAAGGAGGTGAGCTGGCCTCGGCTGTCCATGCCTACACGAAAACAGGAGACCCATACATGCGGTCCCTGGTGCAGCACATCCTCAGCCTCGTGTCTCATCCCGTTCTGAGCTTCCTGTACCGCTGGATATATGACGGGGAGCTCGAGGACACTTACCACGAAGTAAGGATCGCTGTTCAGTTCTGAGACTTGGATTTAAAAAGCATGGCCATGCAGTAATCCCTCCCCCCCACCATGATTACCATATTCTCTTAACAGGAATACGACTGCACTTCATTTGAATGCCATATACATTTCACACAGTGCCTTGACAGCTGGTTATCTCACTGAACAGCAGATGCGTTCATGAGTTCTTTGGTTAGTGGAAAATTGTCCCCGTTTATTCCTCAGCAAAGTCAAATTATGTGTCCAAGTTTACTAGCACGTGGATGGCAAAGCAGGACCAGGCCTCCTGAGGCAAGCCTTGCTGCAGTCATCATGGCAGGTTCTGCCGCTTTGCCATGATAACTTTGCAAACTCACCGATGGACTGGTGCTAACTGCCTAATGAAACAAGTTAGTGCATATGTAGCTATTGAAATGTAGGCGCTTTTATAACGCAGCATGTGCTGCTGAAAAATCACACGATGGAAATGGTAGGGCTTTTGGTGGAAGGTGGGGTGAGGGGCACCATACGCAAAAGCTTTGTCAGTAACATTAAAACAACAGAAAGACAGGAATCTAACACACGTTGTAGGACAGTTGAACATGCTAAAGGGTTAACTGATACCTAAGGACTGCAGTAAAGATCACATTGACCTTGGAAAAGCCCTGGCGTTTGCTTGTGGGAGTGGGCTGTAGGGGCCACAGCCTGTGTGTGACGGGAAGTGGTGGTGGCCTGGCCATTGAAACACAGGTGTGCCTGTGTGTGGGCGCTGCTGGGTGCAGTGGCCTGTGTTGTACTGTTTCTCATGGGTGAAATTGCAAATAAGCAAGTAGGAAGTTTGTGTTATGTTCAGTTTGTTTTCTTATTTATTGTTTGTGCTGTTATGAGTTGTTTTTAAAGCAGGAGAGGAGCAGAATTGACTCTCTGGACAGTGTGGCGCATGGGCATTGGCACCGTGCCAGCTGCTCAGCCTGTGTTGTAGCTCTTTTCTGACGGGGTGTGTAGTTTTTCTTATTACTGGGAATTATTTCATGGTAGGGACAGATCTGTTTTCATCTAGCCAATCCTATTGATGGAGAGGATGTTCTTTGTAGTTTTTAATCTTATGAACAGTATTAAAATGAGCATCCTTTTATGTGTCTCCCTGCATGTTTTTATGAGTTTCCCTAAGGTGGGTTCTGGGAGGTGGGGTTGCTGGGTTGTGGGGATGCATATTTTAAACTTGGATTCTGCCTCGTTGTGCTCAGGAGTGGCTCTCCAGGTTTACCCAACTATCAGCTTTCTGTTATGGGCCTCATTCCCCTGTTCTTGTCGACACTTTGTATTACCTAATGTTAATATTTTCACCTAATGCGCAAAATATGCCATCTCACTAGGATGTTTATTTGCATTTCACTGGTTACTAGCGAGACTGACCAGCTTTTCATGCTTACATAAGGTTTTTTTTTTTTTTAATCTAATTACCTGTTAGTATCCTTTGCCCATTTTTCTTAAGGATTTGTTTCTCTTTTTAGGAGTGAATCATAGATGGTTCTATATTTTCAATTATTTTCTATATGGAATTTCTCTTTTAAATTTTTTTCCCTCATTCTTCCAAACTTATGAAAAAGTTGCAAAACTAGTACAAAGAATCGTTGTACTGTTGACTGAGCCTTAATTGAGACTCCACAAAAGTTTTAACCACATTTTATCATGAACTAAATTTCTCTGTATACTTGAATTTGTTTCTGGATTGTCTTGTTTCTGTTTGCTTTTTATTTGTCAATGTTATTTATATGACTCTACTTTCTATTTGAAATTTGGTAGAGGCAGTCCTTACCTTTTGTTCTTTTCACAATTTCTCTGTTGTTTTTGAACATTTATACTTAGATATGAATTTAGAATCAGCCTGTCAATTCTGTTAAAAATTCTTTTCAAAATTTTTGTAGGGATTGCATATTGAATTTAGAGATTAAAAAGGGTTTTCAGGCTTCTTGTGTTCCTTTCGATGAATAAACTTTTTTTTTTTTTTAAATTGAAAGCTTTGAAAGGTATGTTTTTATTTTACTAATGATTGCCTAAAGTTTTTCAAAGCTTTCGTGAGCCTGTAACTTTCTAAACATTAAAATAATGAGTAAACCGGTATTTTTAACCCCCTTCTCCATTAAGATGAAGAATCATGCCCATTTCCCAGGTTCTGCATACCTGCATGGACTGCCACACTCTTAATCTCTACACCTTTTGTTTAAATCTAGGTTGTTTTATATTTTTATTTTTTTATATGCAATTTATAATAAGCCACTATCCAAGTCAAGAAATAGTACTTATCAATACCCTATTTTGTACCTGTCATTGTTCCATTCTCCTTAAAGGTAAACTTGATACTGACTTCTGACACTGTAGTTAGCTCAGTCTTATTTTAAATCTTGTATAATGTTCAGTGTTAAAGTACATTTATACGCCATCTATAGAGGCATATTTGTTATTCATCATTTAAGTTTGAATCTTTATTTTTAGGTCTGTTTCTGGAAAGCATCATAAAATTATTTTGACTTAAAGTTCTAAACTTAATGTTTCAAGAGTAAGTGGAGACTTACAAGATTTACTGTTTAGTTTTTATCACCATGGTAAGGTGGCAAGGACACATAGGTAATAGGCATTTCCTTTGATAGAGTGAGACTTGTCATTTTTAATGCATTTATGTTCAGTTATTTCATAATTACTGGATGAGGTGAATTTTGGAAGCTGTTTAAGAACCTGTGCAATTGGTTATTTAGAATGCATATTAAATCTCCTGACCATTATCACAATAATCCAGATTATCTGAGTTTAAAAAATGTGTCGCGTAATGAGTTTATGGGAGTTTAAGTGATCTTGTGGTTAAGAAAATGAAAAATCAATGTTTTATTTTGAGAACGCGTGTTCTTTTATATTACCATAATCTGTATGCTCTCAGCCATGCTTACCAATGTAGGTGTGTGAGAAACATTTTGGCCAGCTTCTACACTGGAAATAAAAAGTTCTATGTGTTACTGTTTTCAGTTTTGAGGCATATCTTCTCAGAATCCGTTATAATTGTACCCTTCAGAACTACAAGATGATATTTTAAGGCAGTCTTTAAAAATTAGAGTTATAAAAATGAGAAAATTTACTTTTTATTAAAGAATCTGTATCCTCTTCATTCAATAATTAATATGTCAATTATAGTATGAATTTGGGTGATTTTAACTTTTCTAATGATTGCTGATAAGTTGATAAACCTGGTTTTCTGCAGTGATAGCGTGGGAATTGTTGAGCTTTCATACGATTGGATTAGATACTGCTAACAATTAGAACAAGAGTCAAAGCCGCAAGCTGGCTAATTGTCTCTTTTGACTTTAGCACCTAATTTGTAATACTTTTATCTTTTTCTTGAGAATAATTTAGTTTGCCTATTTCTCACAACCAGGTTTTTAAAGTACTACTTAATTGAACCACCAATTCCTTACATTTGCCTGTTTTTTTTTTTTTTTTTTTGAGACAGAGTCTTGCTCTGCCACTCAGACTGGAATGCAGTGGTGTGATCTTGGCTCACTGCAACCTCTGCCTCCTGGGTTCAAGCGATTCTCCTGCCTCAGACTCCTGAGTTGCTGGGATTACAGGCATGTGCCACCTTGCCTGGCCAATTTTTTTTTTTTTAAGTGGAGATGGGGTTTCACCATGTTGGCCAGGCTGGTCTTGAACTCCTGACCTCAGGTGATCTGCCTGCCTCTGCCTCCCAAAGTACTGGGATTATAGGTGTGAGCCACCACACCCGGCCATTTGTGTTTTTAAAGGAGTCCTTAAAGGGTACCACCAGTTCTTTATTGATTGTCTGCTTATGTGTTATTCAGGCCTGCGTATTCATTTCCTTTCATGGTAGTGAAGATGGGGCTGGAGAGTTGATAGGGAATACAGAGGGACTTGGGCAAAAACTGATCAATTGGTTTTCCTCTAGACTTTTTCTTTAATGTGTTTAATCATTGATTCACTGAGGTGAGACAAAAACAGACCCTTCAGACTTGTGTAGTTTAAATTTGGGAAACGTTTTTGAAGAATTCTTGTTGGTTAGAATATGCATAAGGCTACTGTTCATGTTTTATTTATTTAAAAATTAATGCATGTCTATTGAGTATAATATTCAAGTCAGTATCTCATTATTAATGAACTTACCCCAGGTCTTGCCTCACTTGCAAACATTTTCACTTTTAAATGTTTTACTTTTGATTTAATTTCAGTCTTAGAAAAGTTGCAAGAATTAATGGCCACGTTCCCAGGTATCCTTTCCCAAGACTACCTGAGTGCTCAGAGGCTGCTACATTGATGTCATGATCCCTGTCTTTTTTATTTTTATTTTAAATATTCTGTATTTACTGATGCACGTACATAGGGTCTGAGATTAGACAGAGCTTTAGGAAATTCATGATTTGTAATTTTTAAATTTGCTAGTTATTTTGTCCAAATAACTCGTTACACCTGAGATACTCTTGTTTGCTTCACTAATTTTGCTTGTAGGTTTTTTTCAGAAATGCATTTTGATTGATAGAGCTAAAATTAATCGTTCTTGACATAAAGTATATTGTGTTCTTTACCATGGGTCTGCTGTGTTTAGTACTGCAATACCAGTGGGCTTATACCACCTACTGGTTTATCTCATTGTAACTCAGCTGACTACTTCGTCTACTTTATGGGTTAGAGCTTAAGAGCTTAGGTTCTGAAGTCTGATTTGGGTCTGGTTCTTGGTTTCAGGTTCTGATGGTTCTGTATCCTGGGCAAATACCTTCGCCCCTCTGGGCCTTCCTTTCCCCATCTTCCAGATGTGTGTATGATGGTGCTCGTCTTGTGCGATTTTGTGCATGTGTGAGGAGTACGTCAGACAATTAGGAAGTGTGTAGTATATCTGCTGCTACTTTAAGGAGAACATTGATAAAATTTGAGTGTCTTCTATCCCTAAGATGTCTCTGGCCTTTCTCTGATTTGTTTGTAGTTCTCTGACATCTGTTTTTGTTAGACCCTAAATTTATAAACATCCATTTAAGTCTTTGATTAGTTTTGGGAAGGTTCTCTTTTAATTTACTCTAAATATTAATAACATATTTACCGTAAGAGTTTGGTAATTTAGATAATTACATTGTATATTTGATCACTACATAATTAAAATGTGGGAATTTTGTCTCTTTGTTTCCTCTGTGGGTTAATTTTTCCTCAGTTTCCCTAATGGGAGTTATAACTTTGTTGTAAAATTGCATTTTTTTTCAAATGTGTGGTTAACTCTAAGTAGCTGTAAGTGAGCTTTATAATCATTCATCTCATAGTAATTTATTGCATATCTACCCAGGAAAATGCTCCTTTTTATAATAAGTATAAGATATCAATAAAGAGAAATTGTAAAAGGGAACCAAGTAGAAATTCTGGAGTCAAAAAGTACAGTTACTGAAATGAATGAACTCACTAGTGGGGCTTCATAGCAGATTTGAGCAGGGAGAAGAAAGTCAGCAACTTGGGCTTAGGTCAACTGAGACCATCCAGTTTGAGAACAGAAAGGTAAAAGCGGGAAGGAAAATGAACAGAGCCTAAGAGACCCAAGTTTGATGAGAAACATTAATCTACACATTCAAGGAGCTCATCAAACTCAAAAGTAGGATACGCTCACCACAGCAAGACACATTTAGGTTGAGTATCTCTTATCCTTATGGAGTCTGGATTTTGGAATGCTTGCATTGTACTTACTAGTTCAGCATCCCCTATCAGAAAACCTGCTCTCAGGAATGCTGCAGCGAACACTTTGTGTCAGTGTCATGCCAGCGTCCCAGAGGCTTTGGATTTTTGAGCATTCTGGATTTCAAATTTTTGGATTAGGGATACTCATCCTATATAACCAAACTGTAGCGAGACAAAGCAAATCTTCAAAGTGGCAGGTGGGAAAACCTGAAACTATGAAGGCCACAAGGTGGGAGGATAATACATTCAAAAGGCTGAAAGAAGAACCACGATGACTTGAGAATTCTGTATCCAGCAGTATTCCCGTTCAAAAATGAAGGAGAAATCAAGACATTCCTTGATAGATAAAACCTGAGAGAGTTCCTAGAAACACACTGACTACCAAAATTGATTCACGAAGAAATAGAAAACAGGTAAAGAGATGGAATCAGTAATCAAGAAACTTCAGCAAAGGAAACCATGGGAGCTGATGGCTTCTCTGGTGAGTGCTACCAAATATTTAAAAAATTAACACCAATCCTTCTGAGATTCCTTTAAAAAAATAGAATAGGAAGGAACACTTCTTAACTCATTTTATGAAGTTAACATGATACTACACAAGTAAACAACATACCAGTATTTCTTAGGAATATAGATGCAAAAAAACCTCAGTAAAATACTGGAAAACAGAATTCAGCAGCATAGTAGAAGGAATGTGTGCCATGGCCAGCTGGGATTAATCCCAAGAATGCAAGGGTAGTTCAATATACTCAAAGTCAATCGATGTAAGATATCTTATTAAGGTAACAAAAGGAAAAACGATCAACTCAACTGATGCTGAAAAAGCACTGGATGAGATTGAGTACCCTTTCATGATTTAAAAAAAAGTCAAATGTGGAATTAGAAAGGAACACAACTAATAAGGGGCATCTGTGAAACACTAACAGCTAAAACCATGCTTAATGGTGAAAGGTTCCATGCTTTCTCCCTAAGGTCAGGAACAAGACAAGGGTGTTCACTCTTACCACTTCTTTTTAACATTGTTTAGAAAGTTCTGGCCAGGATAATTAGTCAAGGTTTAAAAAAAAAA